CTTGCAGCATGATTAAACCACTGGCTTTCTTATCTTGTGTGTTGATGCAATTAAAAAAAAGCCAACCATAAAAAAAAAATCAGATGAATTCAAAGCAGGCTAGAGGAGCTCTGTGTTGCACAGTAGAAACATACAAAGCTTCAGAGCGCCATGTACTATGTTTTGGACTTTGAAGCACTGCACAAATCCCATCATGTTGTTAAGGTTTGACAGTTAAGTTGCCATTTGCTTGTTTCACAGGTTCTCTAGTTAATGCGGCTTTCCCCTACCAGTACGGCTTTAGTCTCCTTTGGAAGGATTTAAATTACTGGAGGTGGCAGATGGAAGAGTGGGAAGGAGAATTAGGCAGTATTATACTTTCATTGTCAAAGGGAGTTGAATTCATCACTTACCGCTTTGCCCTCCTAAATAAGTGATATGAAGTATCTCATTCCACAAACCCTATCCATAGTCTTCACTTGCATAAATACACATGTGTCATGGCACCAGACCAAGAGTTTTTTTTTAAAATAATATTTATTAATTTTCAACCGTTTAAACACAACAAATTAGACAAAACAAAAAAGAAAAAGAAAAAAAGCATAACAAAATAAGACACAAACCATTTATCACACAAAACAATTTCTTATCTTTCATTCCCTTATTTCCACGACCTCCTCACACCTCCCTTTTTGTATTCCACTTCTCAGACCAAGAGTTTTCAGGTGGTGGGTCCTTGTACAACAGGAGCCCTCAGAAGAAGATGGACTCAGTCCCTAGTCCTTCCCATGTGAATCCAGCAGCACTGGAGCCTGCATCTCATCCCTTGAATGCTGAGGAGACACCTCTGCCACTGGATCCTGATGACTGAACCACAGACTGCTTGAAGAATTGGGAGAGCCATGAGGAGCTTTCTCCGTAGCATCCTACACAGCTTGAAGTCCCACTGCCTAATGAAAGCAAATGCCTGCAGAAAAAGGCCAGAAACATCATTCAGGAGGTAGGGCTTCCGTCTTATTTCCTTCCTTATTTAAGGCATTTATATTCCACAGGCATTTCTAAGATAATCTTGACTACTTAGCCCAGACAATAAAGTTCTGCAGGTGGTGCCAAGGCACTGCTTGCATTTTCTGCTTCAGCTGCAGAACCACTAACCATGGTCCTGAAACAGCAGCTTGGTCCTTATCCAAGGTCCTGATTTGCCTTGCCATCTGTCCCAGAACCCCAAAACTACTGATATGAACCTTGCTTGGACCATTGCCTTCTTTTTGTGATGGGCATTGGCATGGACCAGGACATTAGCCACACCCAACCCACACAAGAAATATCCACCATTACAAAGCTTTCCTCTTCAAGCTAATTCAAATCTCACAAATACACATCAACATGCATTTGGTCAGTAGTTTTTCACAAGCTTCTTCCAGCTGTCCTGAACTGCCTGGGAGTCGCCCTAGAATCATATCTGGGCTGTGAAACTGACTTAGTGCAGGTCGGACTAGAATATTGTTACAGGACAGGCCATTCATTGGTTTAGGTTTTGCAGGAAGAAATGGCAAGCCCATTACATGTTGCTTTGCCAACACTGGAAGCTACTTTATACCAGGCCAAACCACTGGTTCATCTAGTCCTCTGCTATCCCAGCTCTCCAAGGCCTGAAGAAGAGGCCCTTCCTATCACCTGACTCTTTTAGCAATCCTTTTAACTGCAGACACCAGAACGGAAACTCGACACTTTCTACATAGTATAAAGTATGTGCTCTACCACTGAGCTATGATCTTTTCCTGATACCTTCTGTAATGCTGAACACTTCTTTTTGGAGGATAGTACTGTACACTCAGTCTCTTGAACATTAGCAGCTTTCTTACACCTGCTTCCCTACTCATTTGTTCTGAGTTATTCCTGCAAAAAACAACAGCAAGGATTTTATGCACCTGAACTCTGAGAATGCAGGATTGTCAAGATCCTCCATACCACCCATTTCTTTGTTACTGGGCCTCACCACTTCATCTGCTTTTGACACGCTATTCCTGAGCCAAGTTACTTCTGCTTTCCCCACATCTGACCCTCATCAGAACTTGACCACATTACAAACTTTTTAAAAAATCCTCAGCAGACATCCACACACTCATGCACACTCAACATGTACTTGACAGAGTCACTTAGGCGGCTAATAACACACACACACACCTTGATAACAACAACAACAACCCTTCAGCCTAACAGAATGGTTATTAGCAGATAAAAGGTGAGCAGTTCAGGCAGTCACAGTGAAGGGTGTGAAGCTACTAGTTGAGGAATTAGCATTTAGTTAAATGCGACAAGGCCTGAAAGATGAAAACAAGACACTTCTTGTGTGTGACTCACTAATCACTGTCTAGTGTAGTCTGGAGTATAAATTCCCTTTTGTCATGAAAATGTTTGCTCCTTTGATCCTCACAACATTTGCTAAACACTTTTCCAGGAGAAGTAAATCTTTTGGCAGACCAAACTGCAAAATAATTACTTCAGCATTCAGATCCAGTGGGAGAATTTGTGATGCTGAATACATTTTCGGCAGTACACGCTGTGCATTGCTTTGCATAAGGGCTGAGATCTCCATGCAGACACACTTTTCATTTAATGACGAATTGGCTAAAGAGGCTTTTTCAGTTCTGTATGTAGACAGGGGTGAGGCAGTCACTGCGACTGAAAAGATAATTTTCCAGCAGCTACCGCATCTAAGCCCCTGAGCTCTCTTCATTAGTCTCCTTGCATCTGCTAGATGAGACGCCACTTGTGAGGACTCCGCTGGTGTAAGGTGGGGGAATCATTTTCAGCCTGACGGCTGCCTTCCTTTCTAAATCACATAGAGTCATAGAATCTTAGAGTTGGAATGGACGCCAAGGGTCATCTAGTCCAACCCCCTGCAACGCAGGAATCTCAGCTAAAGCATCCATGACAGATGGCCATCCAACCTCTGCTTAAAAACCTCCAAAGAAGGAGAGTCCGCCACCTCTCGTGGGAGTCTGTTCCACTGCTGAAGAGCTCTTACTGTCAGAAAGTTTTTCTGAATGTTTAGTTGGAATCTCATTTCTTGCAACGAAGCCATTGGTTCGAGTCTTACCCTCCAGAACAGGAGAAAACAAGCATGCTTCCTCCTCCATGTTACAGCCCTTAAGATATTTGAAGATGGCTATCATATCTCCTCTCAGTCTCCTCTTTTCCAGGCTAAACATACCCAGATCCTTCAAGCACTCCTCATAAGGCTTAGTTTCCAGACCCTTGATCATCTTGGTTGCTCTCCTCTGCACATGTTCCAGCTTGTCAACATCCTTCTTAAATTGTGGTGCCCAGAATTGGACACAGTATTCCAAGTGTGGTCTGACTAAGGCAGAATAGAGCAGTACTATTGTTTCCCTATACTTCTGTTGATGCAGCTTAGAATAGCGTTAGCTTTTTTTGCTGCTGCATCACACTGTTGACTCATGTTAACCTTGTGGTCCACCAAGACCTCTAGATCCTTTTCACATGTACTGCTAGTAAGCCAGATGTCTACCATCCTATATTTGTGCATCTGGTTCTTCCTGCCTAAGTGCAGAACCTTACATTTTGTTAGCTTGCATCCAGTTCTCCAATCTGTTAAGCTCATTTTGAATTCTGATTCTGTCTTCTGTGACATTATCTACCCCTTCCAGTTTGGAGTCATCTGCAAATTTGATGAGCATCCCTTCAATTCCTTCATCCAAGTCATTTACAAAGAGGTTAAACAACAACGGGCCCAGGACAGAACCCTGTGGCACCCCACTTGCCTCTTTTTTCCAGGTTAATGAGGAACCATTAATGAGTACTTGGGTTCAGTCAGTCAACCAGCTACAAATCCACCTAACAGTTACCTCGTTCAACCCACATTTTACCAGCTTTCTTGTGATAATATCTTGGGAGACTTTGTCAAAAACCTTACTGAAATCAAGATATACTATGTCCACAGCATTTCCCTGATCCACCAAGTTTGTAATTCCATCAAAAAAAGAAATCAAATTGGTCTGGCATGACTTATTTTTGAGAAACCCATACTGGGTCTTAGTAATCACAACATCCTTTTCTAAGTGCTCACAGACCAACTGTTGAATTATCTGTTCTAGGACCTTTCCTGGTATCGATGTCAAGCTCACCAGTCAGTAGTTACCTGAGTCTTCCTTTCCCCCCTTTCTGAAGATGGGGACAACATTTGCCTACCTCCAGTCTGTAGGGACCTCACCTGTTCTCCAAGAATTCTAAAAGAAAATAGACAAAGGCTCTGGAATCATACCTGTAAGCTCCTTTAGTACTCTTGGATGCACCACTACCTGGTAGTGGTAAGCAAGGCCAGGGTCAAGTGTGGGAGGAGCAAAGAATGTAAATGTTGCCTTTGTGCAGTAGATTACTTTCTATACATAAACACTATCCTCCATCCAGGCAAGAAAGGGACATTATCAGAATTCAGAGATACATTCTATCCAAGAAAAAACATTTAGGGCATGAAGAAGGGCCGGTGGGGGATTGTGGCCTGGAGACAGGTCCAAGGGCCAGATAGAAAGACTTGCAGGGCCACATTCAACCCCCTAGTCCTGAAGTTGCCCACCCATATCATAGACCTTGAATGTAGTCTTGGAGGCTGTGAAGAAGCTGGAAGGAGAGGGAAGGAGAAGAGGGAAAGTGAAGGAACAGAAGCCCCAAACACAGCAGGCACTGTTCTGGTGTGGAGACAGACAGAATGCCAGGCTCCTAGATTGGATATCATGCCTGGCCTACCTACCTACCATCCTGCCTGCCTCTCTTGGCACTGACAGGGCACACTCTAGCTGGCCAACTTTTATGTATAGCAGGATTCTGCTGCTGCTCATATGTGATCTGTCCTGTGTTGATTTATTTCATGTTTGTCCTCATAGGAAGCACAGAAAGACAGGAGGCCACTGCCTTATACTGATCTAGCTCAGTATTTTGACAATGACTGGCAGTGGCTCTCCAGAGTTCACACAGCAAGGAGTCTTTCCAGCCCTTCCTGGAGATGGCAGGTATTGAACCTGGGGACTTCTGTATGCAAAGCAGATGTTCTACTACTGAACTACAGCCTTTCCCCGCTAAGCAATATCATGCTTAACCCTTTGTTTGAGTACTCTAACATGTGAGGCTTTGTATATCTGCACCAAGATCCTGGACCAGGGAGGGGCATTTTTTTGAGGTGGGGGGGGAGGGAGGGAGAAGTGGAATTATAGCAGTAGTATTGTCTGAACTCCTGGCTCACGTATCACTCTGCTCATATAAGCAGGCCTTTTCCATGCAAGGAAAATGGAAGAAATTAGTAGTAGTACACACAGAAAGAGAAACTCAATGTGTAAATACCAGCTCTTCTGCAACAGGGATCTTGAATCCTACCTGGGCTTGTTCTTTGGCGCTTTCTGGGCATGCTGAGTTGTGGATGATTGAGACAATGGGCTCTCCTCAGCATGTGCTTCCATGTCAGGATAATATTTGCCCAGTAACCAAACCACTCTGCTTGGCTGCAGGGGACGTATAATTGCAAGGAGGAAAATTACATGCAAGCACTATCACCACGCAGGTGGTGCTGTGGATTAAACAACAGAGCCTAGGACTTGCCGATCAGAAGGTCGGCAGTTTGAATCCCCACGACGGGGTGAGCTCCTGTTGCTCGATCCCTGCTCCTGCCAACCTAGCAGTTCAAAAGCACATTAAAGTGCAAGTAGATAAATAGGTACCACTTCAGCGGGAAGGTAAACGGCGTTTCCGTGCGCTGCTCTGGTTCACCAGAAGTGGCTTAGTCATGCTGGCCACATGACCCGGAAGCTGTACACCGGCTCCCTCGGCCAATAAAGCGAGATGAGTGCCGCAACCCCAGAGTCGGCCAGAACTGGACCTAATGGTCAGGGGTCCCTTTACCTTTACTATCACCACAGACCCAAAGCAGGTAAAACAACACATGACACTGAGGAAATGCTATGATGGTGTGTGTACAATGAGAAGAAGCCCATAGTGAATTGTGCATACTGGCCTACTTTAAGCCAACACTCTCCCCAAAGTAACATTGCATTTACTAATTTTCATAAAGCTGTAAGTAAATACTGTACACCAACAGCTCCATAGAAGAGTAATGCTATGAAGCAGTCCCACTTGCAGCTGTGTGGTTACTTTAAAATGTATCATCAACGCACCCTTGCCAAACGCAGCTCTCTGCAAAGCCTTTAACATAACATCTGGCAAGAAGCAATTCTTTTCTGCTTTCACATTTGTAATGGCACAATAAAAGTTAAAAGCCCACATAGCAAAATGCTTATTTAAGAAGTTCCTTATAATATTTAATGGGAAAGTTCCCAGATACTGGAAGAGCTCTGGGTTAATGCCCCTGATATGCAAAGCCAGCTTGATGGCACCACAAGGAAACTCATGGGCACTTAACTTTAAGCTAAGATGGCTTCCTTCTGCGCCTGTTGTGACTTGTTTCTAAAATTGGATGAGCACTTCCACATACCATTTAGCAATATATCTCTAAATTCGGAATACTAGTTGCAAAGAAAAGGGAAAGGGAAAAGGGAAAAATAAACATGGGATTGTTTTTCCAATCTTCAGTTCAGTTTTCCACATTTCCACATTACTTCATTATTATTATTTTTAAAAAAGTCCTCGTGAAAATTTTTCAGCATTTTCTCTTAATACACATATTTTTGCAAAGCAATTTTTCCTAATATAGTGCATCTTTGTATATTATTTTCATTAATATGTACATTCATATGCATATTTTACCCTAGTATATGCATTTTTGTACACACTATGTGACTGGAGAACTGCATTGCAAAATTTGTTTTTGTTTTGAATTTGTGTTTTGGTTCATACATTATTGTTTAAGAAAGGGCGAGTCAGGTAAGTTTGGCTTCAAATGTGAATTGAACTGAATTTCTCGCCAAGCCCGACCTGGGAAACACAAGCAGGGAGAGCGCAGCTGGACTCAGGGCCTCCTTTCAATAGACATCTTGTTGGTCACTACGAGAACAGGATGCTGATCTAGATGGGCCTCTGGTCTGATCCAGCAGGCCCATCTTGTTACGCTTATATATGATATTAACTCACTAAACCTACTGAGTACCTGCCTTGTCCCAGAGCCAGTGTGGTGTAGTGGTTAGGAGCTGTAGACTCGTAATCTGGTGAAGCGGGTTCGCATCCCTGCTCCTCCACATGCAGCTGCTGGGTGACCTTGGGCCAGTCACACTTCTCTGAAGTCTCTCAGCCCCACTCACCTCACAGAGTGTTTGTTGTGGGGGAGGAAGGGAAAGGAGAATGTTAACCGCTTTGAGACTCCTTCAGGTAGTGATAAAGCGGGATATCAAATCCAAACTCCTCCTCCTCCTCCTCTTCTTCTTCTTCCTTCTTTCAGAGTTCAGCCTAGCCAGTTTCCAAACCATGGTTCCATGTTGGAGTACCCTCATACTCTCCCCTCAACTTTGTTGTCTCTCCCAAGAGTGCTTCGGCCAGCAGTGGGGAACCTATGGTCCTCCTCATGTTCTCAGACTACAACTCCCACCATCCCAGATCACTGGCCATACCAGCTGTGGCTGGGTTCCTTTAAGGTTTTCCACCACTAGGTTAGGTTCTAACTCTTCCTGAATTTCTCTCTGTGCTTTCTCCTTTGCCTGGCACAAACATACACACTTCCAGCTCTGCCAGAATGTTCTCATTTTCTCTGGGTGCAACACCTGTATAGTACCAACCTACAGATCAATCTCTGCAACACATATGGGATGAGAAATCATGTTGGTTGGTCTAAGAATGTTTTGGAGTTTTTGATGCAGCAGAAAGAGTATTGGACCTAGTTCTCTATAACTATGGATGACCTAGACTAATATAGATGACATTGGGTTGTTGTTGTTGGTTTTTTAAAAATGATCTGGCACTGACCCACTTTTTTAGGCTGAGCTTTATCTCTAATCTAAATATCCCTGTCTTTAAGACCAAGAGAAGGAACAGAATCATAGTGAGGAAAAGAAAATCCCTTAAGAAACAGCAATCTTCTGACCAAGCCAAGAAACATCATCTGTCGGGATAGGGCTGAGTGTTATCTGTTCATTTCCCCCCTCCTCTAATTAGCCAGGCCAAAGGGTGTGCAACGAAACATGAAAAGATGCAATTTGAAAAGATATTTAAAAGACCACTCAGAAAGGTAAACTACTCTGAAAAGGAGGTTTTTTTGAAAAAAATAAGCAGGCAAATTATCTTATTTAAGCACAGTGCAATTACCATACAGACTGTGCCATTCTCTGTTCATTAACGGTTAGCAATTAAGATTACACTCATATTCAGCTCCAGCTCACAAATGCTTTCATTTTGCCATCCAACATAAATGTAAACTTCTGCTCTCCCAATCAGTGTGTTGAATCACTGGCATATTGACTAAGTATATAATTCTTAGCTTAGACACTGAACATCTGTTGCCATTTCTGTCTGACAATCTGTAATTACAGTAGGGGGAGCTGGACAATCGGAGATTAAAGGGATGCTGCTTAATCTTCCAACACATGCTTCCACTTAAAAATAAAACAACACACCAGAGAAATCTCATTGAGACACATTGTATATCTGACCCCTTCTGTTCGTTAGTTAGAGATCAGTAAAATATCCATAAAGCTCATGCTGAAGTCTGGAAGACTACAGGCAGTTTGTAACTTTCTAAATCTCACCAGGCCAAAGGGCTCTTTCCCCCTTCATTTAAATTGTCCTTTTCCTTCCTTCTCTAATGCATGCCTTTTAGTCAGTATCTCAGAGTCTGAAATGTTCTGTTAGACACCTCCTCCTCCTGGTTAGATGTGTTTAACAGATCTGGGCAAAATATAGAGGGGATCTTCTTTATAGCCTCCCCTTGATATAACTACATCTCCCAGTCTCTACCTTTCTTATGATTCAGGTCAGCATTTGCCCTTAAAAGCGTAATAATGTCAGTTCCTACATACTTCTTAAAATACAGAGAATCACAGGTTTAATGGTACAAGTGACTTTCTAGACCTCGTGGTAAAAGTCCATCTGAATTGGACTCTGTCTCAGCCTCCTAGAAGGGTCAATTTTGCTCTAAACCTGGCGGTTCAAAGTTATTGTGGCATCTTAATGGATCCCTGCTCATATCTCCTTATCTATATTTTAAATCATAGCAATTCTGAGTATGTAGTATATACAATGTCAACAGTTCTTAAACAGTACTGTAATTTTGAAAGCAAAATACTCCGTGTCAGGGAACTGCCATCGGACGGAAGGGAGGTGAAAGGGCTCACACAGGTTGGGAGAGACGCAGCAGCTGAAGAGGGAACCAACAGGGAGGTGAAAGGGCTCACACAGGTTGGGAGAGACGCAGCAGCTGAAGAGGGAACCAGCAGGGGAGAGGAGCTGAGCTGGAGGGATGGCTCAGAGACACTTCCAGCGAAAACAGTGGGGAAGTTTCAGGACCTCCTGTAAGAACACCCACTCCTCGCCGGAAACTGTCACGCAGAGATTCCAGAAGACGTGTTTCCGTTAAGGAGCTTTTATGTTGGAAGCGATTACGAAAGCAACCACTGTCGGAATCTGCTAGTGACTAGAGTAGCCATGTCTGAGGGGCTCCGTCACAGACAGAGGTTTGTGGACCTGAACAAACTCTGAGGGGATACGATTTTACGCACAAGCAGCTCATCATCCCATCACACTCCGCTGCTCCTGAAGTTTGCTTTTTCAATGCACCGTACTATGCTTGGTTAAAAAAGCATAAATGGTTTTGCATATCTAACATAGGTAATCTTCCATTGTCTCTTTGATTTCCACCAATTCCTGCAGTTTAGTAGAATAATAGAGCTGTAGAGTCGTAAGGGACCCTGAGGCTCAACCCCCCTGCAATCTAAGAATATGCACCTGTATCAACACTGTGCTCTTACCAGCTGAGCTAAAATACCCTGCGGTGTCTACCTCAAGGCAGTTATGTTGGCTAAGTAACATCTGTTTGGAATACTTGCTCTTTTTTCATCTTTGTTACCTTGATTCCATTGGACAGGGGTGCCAACTTGACTAAAATATGGGGTGGCGCTCAGGTAAGCCCCACATG